TACGCAGCACCAGGCATAAGACTGAGCTAGTATCCCATGGAGAGGGAAAGGAAGCCCACACAGTCAGCAGCGATTAAGGGGACCACTGTGAACATTGGAAAATTGCTTGAAGCAGTGGTTGCTGTCGTGGGATCTCTGTTGGTAGCCCATGGCAATAGTTGACACAATTGGGAAGAAAGAAGACTCTGAAATAGACATTCTCTCATTTGGGGGTTTCTGCTGACCTGTGGACACCTGCTAGCAAGAATCACTGACAGGGTCCGCTGGAGGTAGACGTTGAGGCTAAGTGCCTTCACTTCCCTGCAACTCGCTGTGAGTCACTCATGAAATCATGACAGAGTAGACTGGATTTTTCATATTTTCTCCTAGAAAAAGGAGAAATAGCAAGTTACAGCACAGATAAGTGTCTAGAATTTGTGTTGCCTAACTCCTTCAATAGAGAACTCAATTTTTTACAGATTTATTTATTTATTTGAAAGGCAGGGTTGCAGAGAGAGAGACAGAAAGAGATATCTTCCATCTACTGGTTTGCTCCTCCAAATGGCTCCAACAGCCAGAGATGGGTTGGATGAACCCAGGAGCTTCATGCAGTTCTGTCGTTTGTGTACAAGGGCCTAAAGATTTAGGCCATCTTCTGCTGCTTTCCCAGGTGCAGGGAGCTGGATCAGAAGTGGAAAAGCTGGGACTCAAATTTGACACCCACATGGGGTGTCAGCGTCACAGGTGGTGGCTTAACCCACAACACCACAACACCAGCCCCAAGAGCTCAACTTTTAGCCTCATTTCAAATTCAGAATACAGAAACAGTGGTACATGGTGTATATATACATATATCCTTAATCAATTTTCCTTAACCTTTATACTCTCTCTCTTCTATCTTGAGTCTGATGAACAGAGAGTTGCAGGGACAAATGGGGATAATTTGGGGGGTTAACCTAACCCCTCCAGGATTTACTGGCAAGCTTTCATTCTACTTCCTACCAGTGATTAAAAGTCGTTTCTTGTCCATAAGTCTAGGAATAAGGAGACCCTCACCTCTGACCTGCCCCTGAATCTCTAGAACTTTGTAATTCTGCATGTATGCTCTATACTGCTGTTAGGATTTTTAGCTATGCCAGCAAAAATAACACTCTTTTTTTGCCACAGTTTCATACTGTGCTCTTATGCTGCTTGCCTTATTGCATCAACTAACTGGAGGTTTCAGATGAACCTAGATTTAAAGGGAGAATTTTGTTTCTCTTTTGTAAATGATAAACCATCTATTTTCTCTGGGGAAGTCCAAGAAGGTAGAGAGCTTCTCCCTAACAAAATTATTTCAAAACAAAACAAAAAAGACTGTACTGCATTACCTCCTGTAATATTTTCCATATTCACTTAATGTTTTAAAATTTGCAAAAGCTCTCAGCTTCTAATGAGTCAGCAGGGAACCTGAGAGATGACCAGCTAATTGCCAATGGCAATTTTTCCTGTTCCTTTTTTCCCCTATTGGATCTATGAGAATTGGGAACCATGGTGTTTTCTGCCTGCTTTTTGTTAATTGAGCCTTGGAACTGTTGGAAAATAATGGAACTGTTCCAAAAATAATGTTGCCATAATGATTCCCTGGAGTTTTTGGAAAGCATAAAAATCAACCCACATATTGAGACCATAACTAATAAGAGACAAAAGAAAAGTTCTCCAATGATGCTTTGGGGGATAACTCTAAGAATTCTCATCAGAGGAGGTAGGGATACATATGGTTTTTGCATTGAGATGTCAGTTGTATAAATGAATAAAAAGAATAGATCCTTCCCCAAAATAGAAGTTGTTTTAGTAATATTACTTATGAGTTTTATTTGATTAGAAAATTTCCAGTTTTCACTGGATTCTGTCAGTTATGTACCAAGAAACATAGGAAAACATCCCTAGGTTTCTTTATGTGGAAAATTGAGTTAAGATAATATTTGGATCTACTGATTGAGAAGTGTCAGTGATAACTTTAGAAATCCTCTTATTATCCTATGAGTCTTCTAGTCACTTAGTGATGGTGACAGGGATAAAAAGCCTGTGAAGAGAAGACACATACATATATTACTGCACACGAGTGAAAAAAACAGCTGATAATATGGGGCTTGTAGAATCCAAAGTAGGTTATCACTAAGTGAATTATAGCAGGCTTAGGGAAGATTTCAAACAAATGCCACAAAATATGTTCTCTAGAACCTATATCTCTTACTCCCTATCTACTATCTCTGATTCTTGTAGGAAGCCTTTCCTAACTGATTGAAAAAGAAAAGACAGATACTCATAACCCTCTGTCAAAAATGAGCTTTCAATGCTTAGTTTCTTCATCCTGCATTATCAAATCTCAGATGAAAGTATTATAGGGTGAGAAAACTATATTAGAAAACTCTAATAAGACACGAAGGAACAAAAATAAGCGAGTGTCTAAGTGAGCTATTTTTATTTATAGACCTGCTGTTTGTGCACCTCCCCCATCCAAGCATTTATGGAGAAATAATCTACTGTATGAGCCTTGGAAATGGAAACTCTGGAGGTAAATAAACTGCATTCCTCAAGAAAGATCCTGATGGTGTTTGCTTTGTTAATCATCAACTGATATATAAATTATTGTAAACTGCCAGAGTAGATGGTGCAAAAACAATGTTCAGAGAATTTATGACAGCTAGATCTGGTTTATGTTTGTGATTTCTTGGTTGCATACAGATTATAACATGAGCAGTGCTATTATAATACAATATGATTTAATAGGTTACAGATTTGATCTCTGTTCCTATAGATCTCCTTCCAATGCTTTAAAGTCAATTACCTCATTCATGAATTTAACAAATGCCTTTTACACATGCCACTTAAAATACTTCCTTTAATATTTTATTAAACATTTATGAAATATTTAATGATCAATTCACTAAACAAAAAATATTTTAAGTGTCAATTAGTTTTAAGATGTTATTGGGGGCTGGCGCCTTGGCTCACTTGGCTAATCCTCTGCCTGTGGCTCTGGCATCCCATATGGGTGCCGGGTTCTAGTCCGGGTTGCCCCTCTTCCAGTACAGCTCTCTGCTGTGGCCTGGGAAGGCAGTGGAGGATGGCCCAGGTGCTTGGGCTCCTGCACCCGCATGGGAGACCAGGAGGAAGCACCTGGCTCCTGGCTTCGGATTGGTGCAGTGCCGGCTGGATCGGCGCAGCACGACCGTAGTGGCCATTTGGGAGGTGAACCAATGGAAGGAAGACCCTCTCTCTCACTATCTATATCTCTACCTGTCAAATAAAAAAAAAAAGGACGTTATTGGGATATAAAATTACCTCAACACATTTACACTCCAATCTATGAAAAAATTGAGGCTGTGTGACATAAACCTATCTGAGAAAAAATTGCTAAATAATCCAAATAAAAATTTATATTATTTTCATTTTGAAGACCAAAGTAGCCAAAGTTTGCAGTTTCTATTTGGTTGATCAAGATGGATGAAAAGTGGGCAAGGTTCTCTAAGTGAGCAGAAAATAAAGTGAGCAAAACCACAGAGGTGATTTGCTGCAGGATGAGAAAACGTAGTCTACCATGAAAAAACTACATTTTTATTGGTATATTTGGGAAAGGAGAGGGAGTCCATGAAAATGGCACAGTGATGAAGCATCTGTCCTGCTAAGAATGATACTTTCCTTGTGTCAGTTAGGAAAATTGCATAATACAAATTGTAAAAATAATTAAATATTTATACTTACCAATTGAATGTATCAGTAAATTAGCACAGTAATGAATGAGTAAATTAATAGAAGTAGTGACTTGTGTATTCAGGAAGCACATAAATACTGCTTCTTTTTTTTTTAATTTATTTTACAGATAGAGTTAGTGAGAGAGAGAGAGAGAGACAGAGAGAAAGGTCTTCCTTCCATTGGTTCACCCCCCCAAATGGCCATCACGGCCAGCACGGTGCTGATCCAAAGCCAGGAGCCAGGTACTTCTTCCTGGTCTCCCATGCGGGTTCAGGCGCCCAAGCACTTGAGCCATCCTCCACTGCCTTCCTGGGCCACAGCAGAGAGCTGGACTGGAAGAGGAGCAACCAGGACTAGAACCCGGTGCCCATATTGGATGCCGGCGCCACAGGCGGAGGATTAACCAAGTGAGCCACGGCACCGGCCCATACTGCTTCTAAAACACTGGTGACTATGATTGACTTGAACAGAAAAGTGAAACTGATACTTCTGCTTTAATCCTACCTTTAAAGGTGAGGAAACCCAAGTTGAAAACAATTAAAGATGATAGTGGGTGAAAGAGCATTATTTCACGATGCAGAGTAAGGTGTCAGTTGGTCTCCTGAATTCAGTTATATCATGTAAGGAATTTTTGATTTGTAGTTTTGTTTTCTTCAAATCCAACGATTTCTATGGATTTTGTTAGTTTATTACATTAAAATTTTATATTAGTTGAAAGGATTTTCTGACCCATTAGCAAAGAGAAATTGACAGAGCTGAAATGTTTCAAGGTCAAGTGTGGCCAACACGATGGTGAGTTTTGTTCACAATTCAATGAAACGTGATGGGAAGGAGTGATTTACTTATATTGAGGAGAGGTATGATGGCTTTAAATTATTTCTTCTTGATGGTTAAAACTATAATCCCAGCAAAAATTCTTTTTCAGGTCCATCTTCTTAGACAGAACAATAAACAGTATATGACCAATCCAACCAACGATTGTGGGTTTTTGTTTGTTTGCTTGTTTCTTTGTTTTAAATATAAGGACAGGTTTTAGATGTACTAAGTCACCTCAACTCCCCTCCACCAAGCAGGTCAAGCAGGTTGTGTTATTAGATGAAAGGATAAGCTAAGTCAACACAATATTGCTGTCACTAAAAATATACACAAATAGGAGTAGGTGTAGATGTTTGTTCAGTAATTTGCAAAAAAAAGTAGCATCTTTATGTCACAGATTAATGAACTGGAACATGGAGGATTAAACAGATCATACCAGGCTATCTAGGATTGTCAAAAGAAAATTTTCAGACATTCTTTTCCTAATTGATATTTGAAGCAATCATCGTGAAACTAACACTTAAACAGAATTAGAAATACAGAAATGCCACTGGAAACAGATGTGATCTGAGTTATTATTTCAAAATAATACTATGAATTTGTATGATCAATATGTCATTTGCTACTAGTATAGGTACTTCTCCCATTTCTGATTTATTGTTCTGTTTTCTGCAGGTTAATTTCTGGAACCAAGTCAACCATGCTAATTTCTCCTCTGTCACTGAGTTCCTGTTGCTGGGATTCTCCAATCTTGGAAACATCCAGTTCATTCTCTTTGTTGTTTTCCTGTGCCTATATCTGATTATCTTGAGTGGAAACATCACCATCGTCACTGTCATCCGGCTGGATCATAGCCTTCACATACCAATGTACTTCTTTCTAGGAATCCTCTCCATCTCTGAGACATGCTACACCTTTGTCATCCTGCCCAAAATGCTCATCAATCTGTTGTCTCTGCTTAGAACAATATCATTTACCAGCTGTGCCATTCAGATGTTCTTCTTCCTTGGTTTTGCTATCACTAACTGTATGCTCCTGGGGGTGATGGGTTTTGATCGCTATGCTGCCATCTGTCATCCACTTCGCTATCCCATACTTATGAGCTGGCAGGTATGTGGGCAACTGGCAGCAATGTGTGCTGTGACTGGCTTTTTGTTATCACTGTTAGGCTCATTATTAGTCTTTGAACTTCCTTTCTGTGGCCCAAACAAGATCAATCACTACTTCTGTGACATCTCACCAGTTATCCAGCTTGCCTGTACTGATACCTACATCAATGAACTAATCATTTTTATTGGCGGAGTTCTAGCTCTTATGGTCCCTCTGACGTTCATTTGCATCTCTTATGGCTTCATTGTTCACACCATCCTGAGGATTCCATCAGTTGAAGGCAAGAGAAAAGCATTCTCTACTTGTGCCTCCCATCTCACTGTGGTAATTGTTCACTATGGCTGTGCCTCCTTTGTTTATCTGCGACCATCCGCCAGGCATTCTTCTGGCAAGGATAGGCTAGTGACAGTTACCTACACAATTGTGACTCCGTTGTTGAACCCCATGGTATATAGCCTCAGAAACAAGGATGTTCAGATGGCCATTCGAAAACTGATTGGCAGAAGGAGATTTTATCCTAAAGCTCTATGGTGAGAATATTTCATACCTATGGAAACATCCTTTCTAAGAATAATGTTGGTGATACACATGTATTTCATTTATATAATACTTTACAAGGCTCAGAGTATAAATTTGCCATCGTATAATTTTTATTTGTTTTGCTAGCTGAAACCTCAGATTTGACGTGTCCATGCCTCAAATACTTTTTCTCTTTCTTTCTTTCTTTTTTTCTTTTCTTTTCTTTTCTTTTTTTTTTTTTTTTTTGACAGGCAGAGTGGACAGTGAGAGAGAGAGACAGAGAGAAAGGTCTTCCTTTGCCGTTGGTTCACCCTCCAATGGCCGCCGCGGCCAGCGTGTTGTGGCTGGCGCACCGCGTCTATCCAAAGGCAAGCTTATCCTGGTCTCTCATGGGGTGCAGGACCCAAGGACTTGGGTCATCCTCCTCTGTACTCCCTGGCCACAGCAGAGGGGCCTGGAAGAGGGGCAACCGGGACAGAATCCAGTACCCTGACCGGCACTAGAACCTGGTGTGCTGGAGCCGCAAGGCGGAGGATTAGCCTACTGAGCCGTGGCGCCGGCCCCTCAAATACTTTTTCAAACTTATGCAGGTATTTCTAGGAATACTGAAAGAATAATCTCAGTGAATGATAAGTAAAACATAGTGGATGCCAATTTACTACAGAAGGCTCAACTATCACAACTTCTCCACTGTTTAGGAATATTTTGAAATGCTCTCAAAAAGTTATCATCAGAAATAAAGGACTCAGTGTAGTAGAAAACTATTCATATAATCATTGATATCTGTATTGAAAAGGATCATAGGCAGTCATTCCCATTGCTGTCTTTGAAAGACTCTAACTTACAGGATTCCACCCTTGATTAAATATTCATATTAGTTACCTCTCTCGAAGAGTTATGAAATTTCACTTTTATCTTCATATCTCCTCCCTATTGCTGCTTATTTTATTTACATATGTATCATATGTAATATTTACATGTATTATTAATATGTAATATGTATCATATGTATTTCTTTATATACATATTATATGTAATATTTAACCTGAACTAAGCAATCCAAATATCTGAAAATGGATAACGTATGTCTCCATTCAAACACCTTTAACCTAACTGAAGACTCTTGAACTTCATGATATATCAGAATTCAAAGACTGAAAAATCCTGTTTATCTTTTTCTCCCTGTTTATAGGGTTTTTTATTTGTTTTTCTTAATTAATTAATTAATTTTTAAAGGAATACAAATTTCATATGTACAACTTCTATAAGATAGTTATTCTTCCAACCATACCACCCTCCCACCCACATGCCCATTCTGCTTCCTCCTCCCTCTCCCTTTCCCAGCCCCTTTCTCCATTAAGATACATTTTCTTTGTACATAGAAGACCAAATCTATACTAAGTAAAGATTTCAACAATTTGCTCCTGCTCACACAAAACTGAGAACAAATATCACAGTTAACTCTCTTAATACAACTCATTGAGTACAGAGCTTCTGCTTGTAAAGTTAGTGCACAGTGACTCCTATTGTTAATTTAACAATTAATACTCTTACGTATGATGTCAGTGACCACCCGAGGCTTTTGACATGAGCTGTCTAGGCTATGGAAGCCTTTTGAATTCACAAATTCCATCAGTATTTAGACAAGGCTGTAAGCAAAGTGGCAGTTCTCTCCTCCCTTTAGAGAAAAGTACATCCTTCTTAGATGGCCACTTCTTTCCATTGGAATCTCACTCACAGAGATCCTCCATGTAGACTACTTTTTCCCACACGGTATTGGATTTTCATGCCTGAAATGCTATCACAGGCTTTTCAGCCAGACCAGGAAGCCTTAAGGGCTGATTTTGAGGCCAGAGTGTTACTTAAAGCAATTGTCATTCTGAGTCTGCTGTGTGGACTGCTTCCCATGTTGGAATGTTCTCTTTTTAAATTCTATCTATTATAATTACCTGATACTTTATCCTGTTTATATGATCACTTTAACATTTAAGATGACATTTTTATCACTCAGCTTAATTAGATTTGCAGTCCTATGACAAGTTTTTAAACTGTGCCCTGAGAAGCTAGTACTTAGGATTGTATGCAGAACTACATAGCTTTACAGTTAGAAAATTCCTCCTCCTTCTCTTATTCCCACTCTTATTTCTTACTGAGATCCATCCTCAATTGATTTTGTACAAAAATGATTAACTGTATGTTAAGTAATGAGCTCAACAAATAGTATGAAGAGAAAAAACAACCAAAACAAAACAACAACAACAAAAAATTGTTCCTCCACAGTCAAGGGCAGCTCAAGTCATCGTTTTTTAAATTGTTAATTTCACTTCTGCAGATTTCATTTTAGTTGCTCTATTTGTTCTCACTTATGGTATTTGTCCCTTTGGGACTGGCATATTTCACTAAGTGTGATGTTTTCCAGAGTCATCCATTTTGTTGCAAATGACCAGATTTCATTTTTTTTCTTTACTGCTGTGTAGTATTCCATAGTATAAATATCCCATAATTTCTTTATCCAGTCTTTGGCTGATAGGCATTTAGGTTGGTTCCATGCATAATTATTGTGAATTGAGCTGCAATAAACATGGGGGTACAGATTACTATTTTATTTTCTTATATCATTTCCGTTGTGTAATTCCCAGGAGTGGTGTGCCTGTGTCATATGGTAGGTCTATATTCAGATTTCTGAGCTATCTCCATATTGTCATCCATAGTGGATTTACCAGTCTACAATCTTACCAACAGTGGATTAGGGTACCTTTTTCCCCACATCCTCATCAGCCTTTGTTGTTTGTTGATTTCTGTATGAAAGTCATTCTAACTGGGGTGAGGTGAAACCTCATTGTGGTTTTGATCTGCATTTCCCTGATGGCTAGTGATCCTGAACATTTTTTCATGTGTCTGTTGGCCACTTGGATTTCCTCTTTTGAAAAATGTTTAAGTCCTTTTCCCATCTCTTAACTGGGTTGTTTGTTTTGTTGTTGTGAAGTTTCTTGATCTCTTTGTATATGCTTGTATTAATCCTTTATCACTTGCGTAGTTTGCAAATAATTTCTCCCATTCTCTTGGTTGCCTCTTCACTTCACTGAGTGTTTCTTTTGCAGTACAGAAACTTCTCAATTTGATGTAATCCCATTTATTAATTTTGGCTTTGACTGCCTATACCTCTGGGGTCTTTTCCAAGAACTCTTTGCCTATGTCAATGTCTTATAAGGTTTCCCCAGTGTTCTCTAATAGTTTGATGGTGTTGTGTCATAGATTTATATCTTTGATCCATTTTGCATAGATTTTTGTGTAAAATGTAAGGTAGGGGTATTGCTTCATACTTTTGCATGTGGAAATCCAGTTTGCCTAGCACCATTTGTTGAAGAGACTGTCCTTGCTCCAGGAATTGGTTTTAGTTTCTTGGTCAAATATAAGTTGGTTATAGATGTTTGGATTGATTTCTGGCATTTCTATTCCATTCCATTGGTCTACCCATCTTTTTTTGTACCAGTACCAGGCTGTTTTGATTATAACTGCCTGGTAGTATGTCTTGAAATCTGGTATTTGATGCCTTTAGCTTTGTTTTTATTGTATAAGATTGCTTTAGCTATCTGAGGTCTCCTGTGCTTCCATATGAACTTCAGCCACATTTTTTCTAGATCTGAGAAGAATGTGTTTGGTATTTTGATTGGTATCACATTGAATCTGTAAACTGATTTCAGAAGAATGGACATTTTGATGATATTGATGAACATGGAGGATTTTTCTTTTTTGTATCTTCTATTTCTTTTTTAATGTTTTATAATTCTCATCATAGAGATCTTTGTCATCCTTGGTTAAATTTATTTCAAGTTTTTTTTTTTTTGATAGCTATTGTGAATGGGATTGATCTTAGAAGTTCAGTCTCAGCCATGGCATTTTCTGTGTATATAAAGACTGTTACTTTTGTGTATTGATTTTATATCCTGCTACTTTACTAGACTCTTTTTTTAAAGACTTTATTTATTTATTAGAGAAGTAGAGTTACAAACAGTGAGAGGGAGAGACAGAGAGAAAGGTCTTTCTTCCATTGATTCACTTTCCAGATGGCTGCAACAGCTGGCGTTGCACCAATCCAGAGCCAGGAGTCAGGTGCTTCTTCACAGTTTGCCACGTGGGTGCAGGGACCCAAGAACTTGGGCCATTTCTATTGCTCTCCCAGGCTATTGCAGAGAGCTGGATTGGAAGAAGAGCAGCCAGAACTAGAACCAGCGCCCATATGGGATGACAGTGCAACAGATGGAGGATTAACCTACTGCGCCATGGTGCCGGCCCCTTTACTAGAATCTTTCATGAGTTCCGGTAGTCTCTTGGTGGAGTCTTTTGGGTCCCCTATATATAAAATCATGTCATCTGCGAATAGGGGTAGTTTGACTTCCTCCTTCTCAATTTGTATCTCTTTGATTTCTTTTTCTTGCCTAATGGTTCTGGCTAATAATTCCAGAACTATATTGAACAGTAATGGTGAGAGTGGGTATCCTTCTCTGGTACCAGATCCAAGTGGGAATGCTCTGAACTTTTCCCCATTCAACAGGATGCTGGCCATGGGTTTGTCATAAATTACCTTGATTGTGTTGAGGAGTGTTCCTTCTATACTCAATTTGCTTAGAGTTTTCATCATGAAAGGGTGTTGAATTTTGTCAAATGCTTTTTCTGAGTCTACTGAGATAATCATATGGTTTTTGTTTTTCAATTTGTTAATGTGATGTATCACATTGCATGATTTGAGAATGTTGAACATCACTGCACACCAGGGATAAATCCCACTTGGTCCCAGTGAATGACCTTTCTGAAGTGTTTTGGATTCAATTGGCCAGAATTTTGTTGAGGACTTTTGCATCTATGTTCTCCAAGAAAATTGATCTGTAGTTCTCTTTCTCTGTTGCATTCTGGGTTGCATTCCAGGTTTAGGAATTAAGGTGATGCTGAGTCAAGAGTTTCCACTTGGAGGATTGCTGGGCATGGCCACAAGCTGACACAGCTGTTACAAATGT